TTTTAGCGTAAGGATTTTAGAAAAAAGTATCGTCTTATAGTCGGAAAAATACGGTACATATATTTGTCTGTCAGGTGGTACAACATGAAAATGTGGTCTACTGTTGAGTGCCCCATTTGAAATCCCACCTGTTCCAGTCCAAGTATTTCTTCAGAGTCCACCCAGAGTCCTGTAATTTGAGATTCAAGTGTCTAGCATAAAGTTTGCCTACTACATTTAAAAGACTAACTTGTCTGTAATTAGATCAATTCCCTCTTGTTCCTTTCTTGTGAATAGGCACAACTACTGCCTTCCAGTCTTTGGGGATATTTCCCTTTTGATCAATGCACATAAAGAAGCAAAAAGAGGTGCCTACCAATCAGAATGCATCTTGAGGAATTCCAGTGAGATGCAATTGCAGCCGGGGGGCGGGGCGGGGAGGTCTCTATAACCACTTCTGAGGAGCCAAAGTGAAGGAGGTGTACAGAGCAAATTCAGTGTGTAATGTTTTAAAATGTTCCAATGGGACATGATTGATTTTTTTGGATGAAGGTTATGTACATCTCAAGATTTTTGGATGACACCTATTACTTACATCTCACTAAATTCTGCTTTACTTTGTTGTAAAATAGATGCTCCTGTGTTCATCTTAATGGAGGATCTGCACTGGGAGACAGAAATGTGAATGTTCTCCCTGTTTGTTCTCTGGAACTCTCAGCTTTCAGAGCCAACAGTGGCAGCCCTTAAAACTGCTTCCTGACATTTGGACTTGGAGAAACAGTACTGGGTAGGGGTTGGTTGGCTGGTTTTGCCTTGGAATTACGTCAAAAGCTTGGCCTTAAAGCCATTGTTTTCTAGCGTTCCTAATGGTCTCATTTGGCCCCCTGTGCTGCTTAACGTAAGTGTTCTAGAGTGTTGGTGCCTTTAGAATGCCAGTGTTACTCTATTTCTCTTTTCCCTCAAAATCAAAAGCAGCTCTTCCAGTTCTGAATTTGTGCCTGATGTCAGTACAGTAATGGATTGGATGGGAGTAAGCAAATTGAAGCTAAATTCAGACATGCTCCTGGTCAGATGATAGAATGATTAAGGATTAATGTGCACAGAAAAGTCACATACTTGACCTAAAGATTTAAATTTGCAAGCTGGCTTTTATTGAGGATCTAATGCAAAAACCAGGCAACTAATTGTCAAGCATGTGTTTGCAGAGTTCAGTTGTCTGCTTACTATTGTCTGTTTCCAGAATTATCAGAATAGATTACTGTTATGTATCTCATCTGGCCTGCTATTCTCTGTAATATCTGATGCTGCCTTTGAAAAATGTTTGGAGATCTCTGTTGGCTTAGATCACTGCTGTCAGTCTGTTGGCTGAAGTCAGTTACAGAATGCTGGTTTGCTCTGTTGGCTATTGCAAGCCCTGCAATTAGTGGATGACAGACAATAAAGTGCATGAAATCAGTCAAAAAATAAAATGTAGTTAAAATGTTAATTGATTATACTTAATGCAATGATTTTTTCTATATATAATAAATATTCCTTCTTTGTAATCGTAAAGAACAATTACAACTTGGTAGCAACTTTTGGAGGGGGCTTGAGGGCCACACTGAAAGCACTGAAGGCCACAACCAGCCACGGGTCCAGGGTGTGTCCCCTAGAGCTACAGTATTATATGTGCTCCTTATGACCTATGAACCCCTGTATGACTCAGCAGGTTCCATGCAGATGTGTACTCCATTACATCATGTCTGGGTTTCAGATCTACTTCCCTTCTCTTAGTTCCTTCTCTTAGTTCAGCTAACCACCTCAGTCCCTTTCCCTTATTTCAGCTAACCTCTGATATTTTTTGGATTTGTGGAAATTGAACTAGCTCCTTCCTCTGCATCAATCTGCAAGCAGGAAAAATCTACAAGCCTTCAGCAAGTTCAACTAGCTTAACTGCTGACTTGGGGATGCACATTTTTAACATTTAAATAGGTTCCCTGAAGCTTTTGTCAGTTGAGGTCGCTGGCCAAAAGATGCAAGAGTTTCAGTAAGCAAAGAAATACATTATAGTACACATCACATATCCTCTTGGGTCTGAAAAAATTACTTGAAAGTATGAAAACCTGCATCAAACTAAACTGTCAAATAAAACTGTCCACCGGAGTGTGCTGTGAGCTTTGTTTCTTTACAAACTTACTCTATCCTCAGCCCTACTGAGGGCAAAACAACTAATCCAAGATTTAGAAGCTAAGAAATTCTGCTTGAATCCAAATGGGGAACTAGACTTTGAAAGGTCAGATCTGGTTACTTTCTAAAATCACTGTTAGGCAGGACTACTGAATCTGGATCGCAAAGATCTAGATAAACGACTAGAGGGCTACAAAGAAAAACAGGACACTCTAATTCTTGGCTGCCATGTACTAGTTATCCAGATTTTGCAGCCTGGAGGATTAGGCTACATCACCCTAGTTTTTATTGCTGATTCGCATATTTATTTGTTACCTTTCCTCCAGGAGCTCAAAATGGCATTCATACCACTTGAAGTG